GCATGGAGTTGGATTTAAATCTTTAGTGTCAAGCTTGACATGCTCTTGGCCCTGTATTCTTAATTATGGTGATGTAGATGGTTCCTCTAAGTTCACCCAAATGCTTTTTTGATATAGGCTGCCAAATGTCTTTGAGTAACTAATATATTAAATATTAATCTGTTTGATAGGTTAACGAGATCCATTGTGCAGGAGATTTATCTAGATTCACCTTTTATTTTGTGATTTATAGTTGTGTGTGGGGACTTTTTTATGCGAGTTAAGTCATTCTGCCAATTTTTTATATTTAGTGATAATGTTTGCTTTTTGACTCAATGCTTTGTTTTAGTATACATTTTCTCACACTCACAGGTTTTCTTTATTCGTTTTTTTTTTGTAGTTCTTAATGGATGGTTTTATTATTAGGAAGAAATGCACCATGCAATGGCTGCTATAGAAGTTTAGCTGTACTAATAAGATTGTATTAATTTTTCAGGTGACACAAGCAACATGACATTTAAAGATTTCACATCCATTCTAGGCAAGGATGACCTAAAGCAAATCTGCAAAGAGCTAAAACTGAAGCATGTTGATAATAAACACGATGCTATCGCTGCCCTTGCCAGATTTAGCAAACGTTCCTCAAATATCAGCAACTTCCTTACTGGACATACTAGTAATAATTCTAGCAGAGTTCTACAGATGTAAGTACCTCTTAAATTCCGTAATAGCTCTTCACCAATGGCGCATACGTTTATTATATTCGATACAGGATACAAGATTTATATAGTGAGTGTCTAAACAGTATTATGACTCTAATAGTATGATGGGTCATAATTTAATTTAATTAAAGATCGAACAGAAATCGCGTAGGTATATTTCTTTTTTTCAAACACATGAACCAAACCAACCCAAAAAGTCCTAGTACCTGTAAAGGGTTCCAAACATTTTCTCCGCCTCCACTCTCATATGACTTAAAATTGGAAACTCTTCATTTACTCCACATTATTGCAGTCATCGTCAGACTACGTGCATGTGTAGCAGAGCGCGTGCACACCCTGACACGCATTGGGAACGTAACATTAGCAGATGTGGCGCTATTTCAATATATATTATGAAATTTTTGTTGTCCCCTTATCATCTCATGTGACCGCACTCTAAAGTGTTTTTTGTTTGTGAAAGCATTATACTATTTCAGGATGAATAAAAAAACTCCGCCACGCTACAAGCTCTCAGATCTAGCAAGATCTACCCTTTACAAACTGTACCTAATTATGTACTTGGGTATTGACTTTAATCTAATACGAGATAGGAAGCTAGAGTTCATGCTTCTATGTGAGAAAACTTTGAGAGAAACCTATCCTGTGAACAAAGATATGGTACTGGATAATGCAAGTATTGTTTTTAGAGACAAAGATGATTTTGAAAGGTGAGCTGAGAATTCTTTTCACAGTATTTTACTGATTATAAATTATCCTTTAAATTCAGAGATGTATAAGGGCAACACCTAAAAGAATCAAAATTGGTTCAGGGGGTTTACTTGATTCTCCGTCTGACATTCGTCCGAAATAATTACTGTTAAATAATTACTGTTTGGAATTGTTTTTTTAAATTAGTACTTCTACACAGTTTTTCTAATGTGGTTCAGTTCTGGGTTCGTTGGTAAGAGTACTGAAGATTCCTCATTTAACAGTTAAATTGGTATAAATTTGCCAATTTTATTTTATTATTATTATTATTAAATGTACAATATTTCAAAAAAGTTGCTTATACTTAAAATAACCTTAAGTATGAGCAACTACTGGCTGATAACTATCTGGCACTAATTATTATTTCTATTACAGATATTTCACAGCGCATTTAATGTATGAAGACTTTTTGACTAGAGTTGATGAGGTAGAGAGATGTGAGATTGTGAAACAAGTTAAAAGATTATTAGAGTGCATAGACGAAGACGAAATGGCAAGGTAATATTACTTTCCTTTATGTTGTAGTCGAGCAACTCGACGAACGAACGAACGAGTTAACTTATGTCTCAGGGTGAGGGGCACAGTGGCGATGCTCCTCAGATCTTCGTGATTTAAAGCTCTCGGAGTGGTACTGCAACAGTTTGTTGTAGTAGTAGTTTGTCCCGTCAGTGTCAAAAGAAAAAAGCAACATGAAATTAATGGAGGTTTATGTGTGAACAGTGAGAGAAATTTCCAAAACGTTAAGAGTTAAGCCTAAATTCATACTAGAGATTTTAGTATCTTCAACTATTGTTATAGGTACAAATCCATCTCACCTTGGTTAAGGCGATTCACACCGCCAAACGTCTACATAAAAATGCTAGAAGCAGGCATACAAGACTTAAAGAAGAGTAAATGCGAAGACAATTACCAGTTTGCATTGGACATACTAAGTACACTGATATCGCAGAATGAATTTTGTGTACACAGGAAAGCTCATTGGTATGATGAAAAGGCATTGGTCTTGCACAGCAATATGTGTGTGTATGATCAGGTAATATTATGTATTTTATCTTTAGTGATTATTAACTAAATGATTTCTCACTATGACTTCTTATTATATTCCCGATATTTCGAAACGGTTATACGGTCCACGGGTGGATTGGTCAATTGGTGGTTGGCAGCTTTAAGACCAGACGTCGGTATACTCTCTTTCACTGTCAATGGCTACCCTTATCTCGATTTATTGCGGCGTTACCATTATTACTCGCTTTTATTATATTCAAATGAAAACCACTGTACCTACGCGTGAAGTTGAAATCGAATCATTATTGTTTTTATAATTGCTGTTGTAAACACCAAGGACCGTATAGCACTCTACCCGTGGCGCGGTACGAAACTTGTAACTAGTGATAATCTTCTATACTTAAATATGATTGAATTCACAATGTGAACTGTTGTCTGTATATTGTGTACTTTGCTATTGCATTGCAAAGTGTACGCATAATGAAAGAGGAAAACTTGTTTTTGAGGAATAGTGACCCATACCAAAATTTTAATAAAAAAATCAATAATCAATACATTAGAGATAAAATTTAAAAAAAACCCTATTTTTTGCTGTTTTAAAATGTTAACATTTCCCAATAATTTCTAACGCGTGGTTTTCTTAAAATAGTAAATGCGAGCGACTGGCGCTATGGCAATGCAGCGCGGACGCATAGTTAATAGATTTGAGAATTGCAAACCGGGGGCTCGTCTGTTGTTGTTACCAGTGAAGCACGTGTTTCATTGCGTAACAAAGTATTCTCATGCTTGATAGAGCTCAGTGCTTGGTGGATCTAAGGGTACCTCAACGAATCACAATTTTAGCGGTAAACCAACGTCTTCTCGACTGTTGGCTGATGAGATGTTGACTGAGGCAGCCAATGCCACTGCGCCGTCTCTCGAAGTAATGACAATTTTTATCATATTGTAATTTTTTTCGTTGTTCAGGCAGCAGAAGTGTTAATAGAAGGTTTTCAATCAGATTTGTCAGAGGAATCCAAAGATAGTTTGCGTCCGCGAGCTCGTAAGTTGGCACACCAGAAAAACATAACCATCAGTGAACATTTAAAGAAAAAACTATTGGAATACTCTATAAAAGAAACTATATTGGAAAATAATTTAGATGCACGACACATTTACAAGCAACCCATGGAGTGAGTAGTGATTTCGTTTTATGACTAATTTGTATTGAATGTTGGGTTAAAGTTGGTATAAGATGGCATTGGCATAAAATAACTGGACTTTCATGTTTTATGAGCAAGTGAGACCGTAAAGGTATGAACTCTAAGGGTCTTCAAAGCACCTAACCTCTAAGTAATTGTATATTATAACATGAAAAAAATTTATATTTTTATATATTGTCTTAGTCGTACCAACAAACGTGGTAAGGTAAAGTTCGAGACGCGAACAGCCGAAGGGCGGACCGTCCTGGAGGCGGAGGAATATTGCATCGCGCATTACATCAGTAGTGGAGAGTTCACACACGGTATGGCAATATTTATCATTAAATTGTTTTGCATAATTGCTCTTAGAGAAGACCTACCAGACAGTATAATAATTATTAATGAAATTATCAAGTTCCATTACAATTTGGAACTACTTTTTTGTTCATTCGAATCTTGATATTTCAGGAGAACACTGGGAAGGCAGGATTGTGACAACTATATACTTCCTCCTATTCTGGGATATTATATACTCAAAGCCACCAAACGCTCAAGGCGTTTTCATCACGTACTACCAAATGTATCCACTGGACATGTTTACCGAGAGTTTCTATGAAAATCGCAAGACGAGAATAGACGAATGGTTGGACGCTTTAGCGAAAGCCAGTACCGATAAAGTGTTGAAGATCATGCATGACACTTGGGATAATAGACCTAAATGTAAGATACAATTTTCTAATGTATGTATCATAATAATGAAAATAATGTATATACATCTAATATATGTAATTATATTATCCGAATGGGCGTTCAACCCATTCACAACGAACAGCCGTGTTATTACTATTAGTGACATTGCTTATAATTTCATTTTTAAGAGACTTCTAAAACAGGAGGAGGTTCTCAATTCGGCTATATTTTTTTTGCATGTATGTTTCGCGATTACTCCGGTATTTGTGAACCGATTTCAATGATTCTTTTTTTGTTGGAAAAAGGGTCCTCAGTAGTGGTTCCATTGAAAAAAATATTCCACCTCTAAGGGTGGTAATCCGGTTTCGCGCAGTTTCCAGTAAATCTTATTTTTAATAAAAAAAATAATTAAAAAATATATTAAAATTTTATTACATATTTAATATTAATAAATTATATTAACATTAATATATTATAATAAATATTATAATATATTAATGTTCTGAGTATGCACTTTATTTTATTTTTACTCTTAGTTCGAACGGGGACTACAAGATTATACAATTGACTACTTCATCTAATATTACGCCCAAACAAGAATATATAATTCAGGAGAGTGATAGAGCACAGATCTTATCAGCTTATTCGACAGTCAAAATCAAGGAGAATAGATGTAGGATATCCTCGGATAGAATGCCGTAAAAATCTATGTAACATTTCCAGGTGAATTATCAGGCATCAACAGGAACATAGCGTGGCTAGACATTGCGATGGTAGCATCGTGTCTCGGCTCAAAGGCTGTATCGGCCATATGCAGACGGCTGGCCGTTAACTACAAATACGCACACAGCGGTTTCCCGGACTTGACGCTGTGGAATGAATTCACGAGAAAGGTAACTATAGTATGGTATGGTGTACGCTCGACGTCCAGGCGCCGATTTCGCGTGTGGTGGGTGCAGGGTGCTATTCGTAATTATGGTGTAATATAATATGCCGCCTTGTTACGACAAAGGATAGTCCTACATAATTCACTAGGCATTCTTCAAACGGGTATTCCTCGTACATAGACCGCCAACGCATCGCACCACTGGCAACTTTAGAAAACAAACCAAACATTTCGACAATTTTTTTATGTATGTTACGCGTTAACTCATTTGTGAAACGATTTTGATGATTCTTTTTTGTTGGAAAGAGGGTATATCGGTAGTAGTCCCATTTAAATTTAAGAAAATATTCCACCTCAAAAGGTGGCAAACTATACGAATCCGGTTTCGCGCACTTTCCTGTAACCGATATCAATAAAGCTTGACAAGTAGATGTAATAACGCACTAGGGAAACCCTGTATCGCGGGTGCCATGGACACACACATAGACAACCACAAATTACACCCAAACTCACGAGACAAATAAACGCAGGACATTCAAATATTTCTCCCGACTCGGGAATCGAACCTGGAACTTCTGCGTGGCAGACCAGGGTGGTGACCGAAGGAATTTTTATTTGTTATTGCTCGATCTTTGTATCAATAATAAAATTTAATTATTGTTCATATTCATCACTAAGTTAACTTGATTTACAGATAAAATTCGTCGAAGTGAAAACAGACACGGACAAGCCTTCAATGAAGCAGATTCAATGGATGCATTATCTTCGCGAGCATGGTATCGACACTGAGTTCTGTTACCTAGGTGCTAATACTATGCGGCAACGATGCCGCACTGTTAAGAATCAACCGGATGTGAAAAGTGAACAGTAACACTTGACCTTCTACAGGCTGTCCTTACACAGGGAACATTTCAATAGCTCGCCTCACACTATCACCACTTATTGCGTAAAGTCGCACTATCTCAGTCAATTCGACGTTAGAATAAATATCCATTTTGCAGGCGAGAGGCGCGTTCGCCGCCGGCGCAATGTTCGGGCAAGCGGAAGTAGAAATAATTTACGTGTCTTCGCTAGGACAAGGTCGCGCGTGCATTGTCTCTGCAAACAGTGCCGACCTGTGCTTTGTTTTTCGCCGCCGTGCCGACGCGCCTCTCGCCGTTGCGCCTGTCGGAGCAATAATAATGGTGTGCATAGATTTCGATAAGTAATGTTGTTCACAAGTAGTAGTCGATAAAAAAAAAGAAAAAAAAATTTTTGTAAAGTTTAAGTTCATTAGTTTATTTTTTTTTTTTGGGTCAGAATCAGGAATATAACGCACTCTATAAGTATGTCTCACTTTCAAATATACATAGTCTTGCGACCAGCTAAGAATCTTTGTATCTACAGTATGATGGCAGATACGGGGTTTCATTTATATTTTCCATGTAGTTTCTAATTATACTAGATATAAATTTTCAGCCGGTCGCGATTAAAAAGTTGTGAGTCCAAAATGGGCATTGTTCTTTTGAGATTTTGGTAACTTTTTTCTACAATCAGCCAATGCGTACAAGGTATGTATGTATAAATGTTTTGGTATAAAAAATGCTTATTTGTACCAAAGGAAAGTTTAAAAAATCAGTAGGTACTAAATTTGTTTAACTCTTAACTTAGGTCGTGAAATACGTTTGTTTAACTCTTAACTTAGGTCGTGAAATACGTTTGTTTAACTCTTAACTTAGGTCGTGAAATATGCATGAAACTTTTGTACGCTCACGCGTAATGTCTTTTTATGTGTCATATGTAAATCCATAAGCATATTAATAAGTATGAAGATGTGTTTAAATATTTTTATGGTATGTAATACGCAAGTAAAAGATATTTGAATGACATTTTTAAATATATCAATGTACCCTGGTGGTAGTCGTTCTTTGGAAGACATATTGTAGTATATTGTATTTTCCATTAAACGATTTTTCGTTAATAATATTAGAGTATAATCAGTTTAACATTGGACATAAATATTAGTTTCTCGTATTGTTTTATTATGACGCCATTCGTACATATATTTGGCAAATAGTCGAAAATTCTGTGATCAAAATTAACTAGTTATATTTAAAGTCATAGTGTACGTTTGTTAATTTAGCGTGTGTATTTTACAGAGGGTTATTCACTAAATGGAACATCATGTTCTATATTCATTGTAACAATTATGATTTGAAATAATATAATAAGCGATACATGTTTTAGGCTCAATTTGTATTGCAGCGGAACGGAATGCGGGAGCATTCTTGAGCATGCGCGAGAATTCCGCAGAAGATTTTGGATTTTGCACAATTGACCATAAAGTTAATTATGCAATGTACAATATCGTTACAAAAATTCGCTTCTATTCCATTCCGCCGCAATATAAATTGAACCTTACTTACGTTTACCCGTGATAGACTAATGTAAAATACGAGAAGTTACAGATTTGTAAATAAATATTTTTTACATAATTTGTTTCGTTATCCCTCAGACCAGTCGAGGTAGTGGAAGAGTTTTATGGCGTCATGGAAAAAAATCGTTAGATTATACATCATGCCATTATACCATCATAATCGGCGATTTCAACAAGAAAATTGCAAGCCTCTTGTAAATGAAAGGTCGGTAGGTGGCTTTGGTCTCCGCGTACGTAATAGGAGAGATTGGACCCTTGTTAGCTTCCTACAAATGAATGGGCTCTATGCCATGAACTCCTTCTTTCAGAAGCGAGAGATGAGAAAGTGGACTTGAGTACATCCTGGTGGGACAATTTGGAACGAAATTGACTACGTAATAAGCTCCCACAAATGTGTGATCTTGATGAATTGAACCTTGACGTCGATCACACCAACCAGCTGTTGTGCAGGACTATTAACGAGACAGCGCTTGGGAACCGCTCGTAAGAAGATCAATAAACTTACAAACGAAACCCTTCATCTTAGAGGAAACAGAAACAAATTGCTTACCCAATTTGCTTCTGCGTAAAAAGGAGCTAGATAAAATTAATAAATTGATTAAGAAGTCCATTAAGCGCGATATTAGATCGTTTAACACTAATATTATTATAGACACAAACAGTTCAAAGTATTTCGTAGAATAACTAATTCCGGAACAAAACAAATTTCAAGACTTAGAGACAAAGATAACAATTTAGTAACTGACCGAGCAAAAATTCTTATCATCATCAAGGAGTTTTATGCATCTACATCTGCAGAACCGGATTTAACAGGGGACGATTCCCTGGCTCCGCCTATTAAACACTTTACCACGGAAAACTTGCCTCCAATTATCCCGTGCGAGGTGACAAATGCTCTATCCAAAATGAAGGCGGATGAATCCCCTGAAGATGTTGGTGTTTCAGTCGAATTACTAAAATATTAGCAAATTCTCAAATAAAGACTTGGGTAAGTAAGGTAGCATTTAAGGCACGAAAGGAAACAGCTTAATACAATTCACTTTCAATCATTTATTCCCTTTTAAGCAAGTATTAGGTATACATGATAGTTCTTTACTAAATTACATAATAAAAAGAAGACAGTACATACCTGTATAAATTAACAACCTTTATATACGGCACCCACAGTATTCACAATATTACCTCTGTCTAGGAAATTCGAACACAGACTGCATAAATTTTCTTTTGTGACCATACCATCAAGCTTCGCCCCACCACCGTTTTGGTGGGTTAACAGACTGCGATTTCATTGGTTAACGCTTTTGGTAGACCGATGCTTGATTGGCATTTCTTTTAGAAAGGGATTTAGATACTTTTAATTATTATTGCTAAACTGACATACAGAAATGATATCAGGCAGGCATTAATTTAGACGTACTTTAAAAAATAATAATTAATATGAAAAACCTTTTGCCTATTGAGCAGGCTGGCTTTCGGAGCGGCTTCTCAACCATCGACCACATCCACACGATTAATCAGCTGATGGAGAAGTGCCATGAATTCAACCGGCCCCTTGTCATCGCCTTTGTCGATTACGAGAAGGGCTTCGACAGTGTCGAACATTAGGCCGTGTTCCACGTTCTTCATCGCTGCCACATCGATTCCCGCTACGTGGATGTGCTCCGGGAGCTCTACCATTCAGCCACTCTGTAGGTAGGAGTTCACGATTTAACCAATCCCGTTCCAATCCAGCGAGGAGTGAGACAAGAAGACACTATTTCCCCAAAATTATTCACAGCGGCACTTGAGGAGGTCGTAAAAACCCTTAAATGGGATAACCGCGGCTTTAACAGCAATAGTGTCCATTTGTCTCACCTAAGATTCGCGGACGAATTCGTGCTATTTGCAGAAAGTTTCGACGATCTCCACAGGATGCTGGAACAACTCTATGAGGCTTCTTTGAGAGTTGGCCTAAGGATGAATGTGTCCAAGACGAAGATTATGGCGAACCTCTCCAGTCCCTCAAATACCACTATTACGGTGGGAAATGAGAGGTTGGAGAGAGTCGACCAGTACGTCTATCTCGGACATGTTCTATCCTTTGGCAAAGAGCATCAGCCTAAAGAGATCTCAAAAAGAATCCAGCTGGGATGGACGCGTTTAGCAAGTTAGATGACATCCTTAACACAGTGTCTGAAGACCCGCTTGTTTAATCAGTGTGTTCTGCCCATCAGGACGTATGGTGCCGAGACATGGACGCTCACGCAGGAGACAGTATGCAGGTTGAGAGTTGCACATAGGGCCATGGAGCGCGCCATGCTCGGCTTCAGCCTTGTAGACCGAGTTCCGAACGTTGAGAACTGACAACGGACGAAAATCCAGGATGCTGGAACTGGGATCATGGAAATCAAATGGGGCTGGGCGGGACACCTAGCAAGGCAAGGTGATGACAGGTGGAGCAAGACGTCGACTGATTGGTGGCCGAGGGTGGGCAAAAGAAGCGTCGGGCGCCCTGTTGCAAGGTGGGTCGACGACATAGTATGCGTCGCAGGGCGTCAATGGATGCAGCTATCACGGGACCGTGGTAGATGGCACAAACTTCGGAGGCCTATACCCAGCAGTGGGTGAAATCAGGCTATGGATGATGATGGATGACATAATTTATTTATTATTATTTTATTTATTAATATGCGTAATAGTTGCAGTGGCCGCGGCTATTCTTATGTAATACGAAGCCTTAATACGAAGGCAATAACCATTCTACACCAAGAAACGTATATACATAACAAACATTATACCTATATATACTCAAGCGATACTCCGCTTCTTGTCCGTGGACCACCTGTCTAGTTCACTTCGGTAGACCACGGGCAATTACTTCTTCCCGCAGTGCATATATGTTCACCTGGGTGGACCATGGACCTTAATTTGGGTCGGGTTAAATAAAAAAAAATCTTTTTTTTGAGGTTTTCAGTTTTCTTTATATTTTTAACGAGCAGTTTTACTTATTTCTACTTGGTCTATTCGTACATAGCATGGACCAATGATCTCATTGGTATATGCCCATCGAGCATATTTCTACGCCATAGGTTCTCAAATTTTTTGGCTCACCGCCTTTTTCAAATGCGGTAGTGTAAGCTAGGGCATAGCTTAGGATGCGTAGCGAGAGGTACTTTTATAAATTTAAACTGGGATAATCTTCAAAACTGACAGCCCGCCCGCTCGTGTAGGCCGTTTGGGAAGCCTCTAACTTGCCTTACTTAGCGTGTGCGGGCTAGGTTTCTATGCGTTATTATTCTAAGGCTACATCTATATACTTGCTTTATTGCACTTTTCTACATATTTTCTGCCTTGGGTTACATTACGAACTCTCAAGATGTTCTATTCTTTCTATTTCATTTTTTCAAACACATTCTAAATACAAAACTATATTCACTCAGCCAGTGATTCTACTCATAGAGTAGAGCCTAGACTACAGTAGCATCCCCTGGACATTATCAACGCCCAAATGCTTTCGAGGCCCCCCCTAGAACTTCAGCGCCTACGGGGGGGCAGTAGGTTCAACTTTGGCCTATGTTTTGGATCTATGCTATATACGAATATCTATGCTAAGGTAAAAGAAATTACGCAAGTGCATAAGTTAGTGGCGGTAGTTTATCTAAAGGTTTTCGCAATAAGGAGACAGTAATGAGTTCACTTTTCTGCGTTCTTTACTTAGAGGATGGAAAAAATAAATAAATAAATAATAATTCAATAAAACACTCCTTTTTTTAAATGTTATGGCTCCATCGAAATAATCAATGATTTTGCCAATGTCAAGTGAAAATAACTATGTACGGTAGTTTAATATTATTATAAAAATTATACAAAAAAAAATGGCGATTTCGCCAATGTCATGTGATAATAACAACCCAATAAAACACTTGGAAAAAAACATTTGTTTTGACATTTGATGTACTTCCCTTTGACAACCGTATCATGTACCTCATGTACTGCGAAATGGACACAGTCGGCATTTAAGATGATGTTACGTATTTTCGATTCTCGTGTTTGACACAGACTAATGTAATGCTATCTTTATTGGCTTAAGACGGCACGCAATATTTAAACAAAGACAATAACATGTTTATGTTTTCGACGTCGAAATGCATCATATATATATTACGTCTGATTTATATGTCAATATAACATGTCCTTTAGTTTCCATAGTCTAAGGGTCGTATTCTAGAACTCTACTCAATGCTCAAGTCAGGATTTGAGTATGGTTTTAACCACTCGAAATCATACTCAAGTCCCTTCCATTAGGGTCGTATTTCCAGTGCGTGTGCTGCCAGTGTAATCCTGACTTGAGCATTAAATAGAGTTCTAGAATACGAGTCTCAGGTTCTTTATGAAATATTGCGTCTGAAAGCGAAATGCATAGAATAGATTCTCAAGTATAGTGTCTCTATGGAATTGATCCATGAACGTATGATTGCTGTCTACGGAATTCTTAAGCATTTGGCTTATGGCTGCACATTAGTGTTGGCAAAAATATGCTTTATATTGCACAACTTTTGTATAACGTAATGTGTTATGTTGCGTGTTGTAGTAAAGTAATATGTATTACTCGAGACACTCCTCTTTGAAGATACATATGTAAAGCTCCATATGTAGTCTGCTTGCTACCCTGGGTCATAGATAATAGTTGTCAACTAATAAATTATTCTCATTAAAAGATTATTTATTTACGTTATGTCATAATCGTTAGGCCTATCGCAGACAACCACATTTTATCGGTCTCCGATTAGTATCCGACTGCCGCGCGCTCAACGACTACTATTATTTTTACCAATAGAAACAAAATCTTATCTTATGGATTATAAAAAAAGGAGTGGTTACCCCTTATTCTTTTACCGCGTACAATTATCGTATCTACTGGACCGATAGCCGACCGCTTTTTATAGAAACTAATGTTTTTTAGGGAAGTTGCATAAATTATTACATACATAAAAATGTCTTACTTTCTATTTTCACACTTCTTGTTGACGGTTCTCGACGGTAGTGTGATAGGCATAAGCCTTATATAACAACAATCTGTGGAAAATAATCGTAATCCAATTCTGAGTAAACCACGAGTAAACGGACGTAAAGAGTAGATAATAGTGATAAGAGAACTTAAAATTACCTAAAACCAGCACAAACACATTTGTCACGAAGACTTTTGTACATAAGTAGCATTTAAAATGAACCCTGTCATAATACCCGTGTTATGCATGACTGCAGTTACTGCTATCTCTGCAGTATATTTGTACTGTGCGAATAAATCTGATCGAAAAAAAGGCTACATGGATGTGGAGTTCAAGCCAGCGGCAGCGCAATGAAGTTATTTTATTACCATTGCTTTATGATTAATTTTTGATTGTATTTAGTTGAAGAACCGGTATTAAAGTTTAGTATATACTTTTAGTATATGTAATGTAATTTTAGTATAACATATTTACTCACAATGGTGAGTTTGCATTCGCAATTTTTTGTTGAATAAGAACTAAAGAGAAGAAATAAGAGTTGAATAGAAGAATTTCCGGTTTAATTTCATACTAAACGGCCTAAAGACTAAATCTGATTTTCTTAGCACCTAGCTTAGATCTGGCAATAAGATCTAAGCCAGGTGCTGTGGTTCTCGAGATTGAGGAATGGAGCCACTAGAATAAGCTTCTAGCCGGCGCGGACAGTTAAACACTCTTAAACATTTTGGAAGGCGGCCTGACGATAATATCTAGTTTTTTGCGACTAGAATCGACTAAATGACGACCTAGTCAGGTAACTAGTCAGTCAACTTTCAAAAACACGAGTATGGTCTCATTGGAATAAGGAACGCCTTTGGACGGCTCCACGGCCAGCAAGATCAATAGAGGGTGCAAACTTTTAATAGTGATTCTTTATAGTGATAATGCAAATCAACCAGCAAATTGTGGTGATTATACCAAATGATGATGTTCTGTAGTTTCGTTGATAGCTATATTATGAAGTTGAAGTGGCCTCTTAACTTGTAGAACTTGAACATTGCTGAGGGTAAAATATTATATGAGGGTATAATATAACAATGTAGCGTGACGCGCCATTAGGTGCACCTATTGATGAGTGTATTGTACTGGGGTGAACCTAACGACCAAAATCACGCACGCTGGGCGCCATTGGATGCAGATGGCCCTGTTCAGCAGTGGATATTTTTCGAAAGACGGTTTTTTTTTAATATGGACAATTTATTTAAAACGAAGTTTGCAATAAAAACAAATAATAGTAACGGAATTATTTATTAAAAATAAAATATATTATACTAAAATTCATAACATAGTATGTACATTTCAACAATACACCTCAGTAGGACGATAAGGCACCTATTAAAGTTAAACTTATTCAATACAACAAACCCACGCACATGTTCATACTGAATTCCCTATTACAGAAATAACTTTCACCTTATACTAAAATATATATGCTTAAGGACACTTAAATTGAGCATTTCCCATGATACACGACTAAATACAAATAAATACATTATACATGATGTTACAAAAGGATGCAATAAAAATGGTTCAGAGTAAAATTAAAACAACAATTGTTGCTCGACTGTTCAAATTTTACAAACTTGACATAATGTATCACGTCGACAAAAATCTACTAAAATATTAAAAAACTGTGCCCCTGGAGTTTTGTTTCATCCTTAATGTAAAACCTGTATAAAATCTACGAGAATATTACATACAGTCTACAAATCACAAGCTTTGGGCTGTGAGAAAATAATCGAGTCGTTCAAATGAACGAAATGCCTAAAATCACTCTTTGACTAAAACATACCATTTTTTATAGTTAACTACCATCACCTATTTCAGTGGTAACTAAAGATTTTTCTCATAAAGACCGTAAAAGTCTGACAGAAAAAAAAACTAAGGCACACACACATGAGAAAAATAATTGAAGATTACACAAAATAAAAAATATTTGTGTCCATTTTTGTTGCGAACGTATTTAGTCTTATATACAATTTTTATTCCTTTCCCCTATTTATGTGTAAAAAAGACAACACTCATCTGTATAATATAACAATATATTTTTTTTAAATAAATTTTGGTAATAATAACGTGTCTGAAAAATTAGGTAGGTACTTATACTATATACCTACAGATTAGCAGCAGAAGAAATAATTTCTGTTGTCACTAACGAAATTCGAATATTATTTTTAAACAGAACAACAACTAAGTATATATATGCTATAAATATATCTGAAAATCTTTCAAATTTCTCCAAAATAAACCTATATCTTCATAGATGTTGTGCCTTAGAATTGAGAGAACCATTAGACATATTGATAGAAATATAATAAAAAACAAAAATACATATTTATTATACTATAACAAGTTCTTATAAAATTTGAAGACTGAAACATTTTCAGGTGTTAGAGGTTCCAGGCAATTTTTTTATTAACAAAATCGCATTATAGTGATGTTATGATAAATATAAAATATACGATTATAACTTAAAATAGTTGCTTCATAAAGGCGTTATATGCGTCATCTTCGACATTTGCGAAGGATGTTCTGGGCTCCTGGTAAAAATAACAAAAAAAAAAATATAACTTACGATGTGGAATAATATTCTACGAATCTAAGACCGTCACCTGCACAATGAGAGCTGGTGATTCGCTACTACATCGTTATGGTTACCTATAATTATGAAGATATAAGTAAAAAGCAGCCGTATTCCTAGTCCTTCCAGCGCGTATGGGTGTACCAGAACCTCATGTCATTAGATATCAGAAAAGTCGAACGACTTTCACCTGGCAATGTTAACTTATCACATGTCAATTAAAAATATTACTTGTGTCAAATGGCTGTCTGCTAAACTTTTTTCACTTTAAAATAACGATTTTGTACCAATAATTACTGAGTTTCCACTTCAATCTCAAGCAAAAAACATTGTCATAATGTTTATCGCAAAATCAGCCATGAATGAAGGCATTTAAGTCACAATTCAGGATTTTGAAGCGGGTCTCAAATCTTGCCGATTAGTAGGAGTAAATAAAGTCGATCTATGAAATTTTAACGAAGCCAATTCAATGTATGTGGTACCTATGTTATTTTGGTTGGTACTGATCGGCAAGACTACAGTGTTTACTTCAAACTGCAAACGTAAATAAATCTATCTACACCCACAATGTAATTGATATATTTTTGTTTAATTTTAAAATGTGAAATTAGAAATTACTTACCTTTCTCACACAAAAATTCATACAGATCTTAAAACATGTACAAGGATAGATCATTTCTGGTCAATTAAAATATATGAAGTATTTAGTATGTACATTTTTATACTGCCATCAGATTCTGATACACCTTTTCAATTATGCTAATTGCATGAAGTCGTTTTTGGGAATCAAGTTGCTTGATTAACTCATGTCAAATGCGTTACAGCCGTTTCTCCTAGTATTCATTAGTTTATAATTCACCATCGAGCCCACAAACAATTATTAGAAACATTATATAAATATTAAAACCTACTTGGTAAATAATAAAATTTCCTAATAAAACACATTCCCAATGCACAAAAGACAATATAAATGTCTTTAGAGTTAATATTGCGAGGCCGTTATGAGCTGAGTCTTTAAGCCCTGAATAATGTCAAAAACTGTCTTTCCTTCGCATGTTTGGGTGATTTTCAGGTTAGTTTTCTCTACCTAATTTCTATTATTGAAATGTTCTAGATCATCAAGTATTATTTAATATTCGAGTGTAGTATCCTGAAATATTATTTAATATTTCACGATAACATACTCGAATACTTAATTAATAAAAATTACCACCAAAATTAGGTGGAGAAAACTATCTGAAAAATACCCATTAACAGAGAATTCTATTGTAAATGTAATGATGCGAGTAAAAACTGTCGAGGAATTTATTTATGAAGTGATATATTGAAAAAATACCTTAAATATAGCCTTAGTTAACAACAGCCCAACTACAAAGTTGATTATACGGTTTGGAAACCAACCATTGTGATTACATTTTACGATCAGTAAAAGATATTTTCCAGTGACAATTACTGATTGAACATAGTTTATTTATACAAACTCAGGCATTATAACCCTGACACTACTATTATACTATGGGAATAAACTATAGCCCAAGAGAGCGCTTATTTACCTAATTACGGATAAACTGAACGTAATTCTTCTTCTTTTTTCATTTCACATTTTATTTAGGGACAAATATGTCACACGAGCATATACGCCACTGAATTCAAGGCAAATTGTGACAAGTTAAAATATACTTGAGAGCATAAATATTAAACTTAAACGTTAAAGTGAAACGGGCAGTTTCTGCATCTATCCATTTTGCAACAGAAAATTACCAGTCGTACTGAGGAATATACACAAAAACTTGATACAAAAATTACTGTAAATTTAATTAATGCTTTTTATAGGCGCAAGTAAAACATCAACGATTTTGGTTTCCCTCGTTATTTGTGCTTGAATAACGTTAAGTCAATAATCTAACTGCATTACAAAAAATATAAAATTAAACCTGATAGAACCTTTAAAACCAAAAATCATCAGATTCAACAGTGCCAGTGGCTGCTGTATTAAAAAAAAAACAATAGGCCTTGATTTTTGCCGCAGTGGAATTAATTTCAGATACAAATAAAAAAATAGACAAATATGTTGACTGGCGAAATAAATATAACCACAAATTAACGATTTAAAAATGTACTATAAACAAATTCAACATTTCAATCCAATAAAATCCGATCGGCTGAACTATGCGAAATGAATGTTTTTGGCAGAAAAACAGGCAGGAGTACAAATTAACTTTTGCACTTTTGTTTTGAAAAAATATTTGGTCTAAATATTATTATAATATTCTTATCATTCGGCTTTTCCTTAACACTCTTAACTTGGAACCTTTGTTATCTCGGTATGTCCGCCAGTGCGACCGTCCATTTGTTCGTCGGTATGTCACAGCCACTTTGAAAACTATTAGGTATAAGTGGCTTAATTTGGCACAATTACCTCCCATAGAAACACCGGTACGATAAAAAAATACGACTTATTAAATTTATCTACAGCGGTATTTGTTATCCTATAATGGCATGTAATCATTTGAGTAAAATTTCTTACACTAGTTACAGTCTACAAGAATTTTTTGCATACAATTGTACGCGTAGTTATTTATACTATACGTGCATCGTTATCGACGACGTCATGACGTCATACTCTACCGTATAACGTCATTAAACTCAACGCATACAATAACGAATCCGTGTAGTTGCGAGACCACATTAAGCCACGCGAATATATTGCGTATTTGCTGACGTACGTGCCACCAAACACATGAGTTTGAAATGAAAATGGCCCTTACTGTTATAAAATTGAAACATAAAAATCCTTAGCCAGTTAGTAATGAGTCTTACATGTTAGGCTCTTGTTTGAAGGGTATGGGTTCGAGGAACCCTGTGTCGGGCAGTGGCAATTGCGGCACCAGCGGCGGTGATGACGCGGCTGACATTGGTGATGACGAGTCGACCGCTAGGTCCTGTGGCTGTCCTTCTATTGCTGACTCTGTTGATGCTCCTAATCAATAGAGATAAGAATGTTGTTCAGACAGAAATTTTTGTCGTGATTTATTATAACGTTTGTGGTGTATTGTGCGTTTTGGTCCGAGAGGAAGCAAACGCATTCCGGGTGAAAGTGTGAATAAATATATTGATTCCTTAACAATGTCAGTATACATTTAACTGATCTTTAAATGGTCGTTTGTATTGTGTGTTTGTACCAATGTAATAACGATAATTATTTTAGAGTACACAGTAATAAAGTTAACACTTTTTTATGATACAAGTGACGGGACGAACTAGTCGTGAGCCTGGTGGTAAGCGACACGCCTATCCATAACAGTTGCAGTGTCACTCAGAGTTTTAAATCGCAAAGATCTGAGGGGCACTACCACTGCACCCGTCACCCTGAGACATAAATTGACAAGTCCCATGTGCCTGTAATTTCACTTAATTTTGACATAATTTGATATATAAAATATGTAATCGTCAAGTCAAATCTAATCGAGTCTTATCGCTATAAGCTAGGAGGTATTGCGTGTTTGTTTACACTAGCCTGTCTTTTTCGGTAATCTAAGAGTAGTGTTCACTCCCTAATTTCCGTGGCAATTTTTTTTTATTATTTAAGTATTCGATTTTTTATCAAATCATTGCTTTAAATGTGGTAAGTAGGTACAACACTAGATGGTAATGTTATAGTGGTACAGAATAATGTATCACACATTAAGCCATTTCTGACATGCAATATATAAAGAGTCAATGCAACATGCTGTGTAATGACTATAATATAGGCATGCTAAATTAAAAACCTGTGTCTCTAATAAATTACATTTTACGTTATACATGCATATAACAATTTCAAATAATTGTTTTTTTACACAATACTATGTCACTTAAAACCTTTTCTTAAATTATTAGTCAAATTATGAAATTACATTAATTATAAATATGAAAATAGCAATATAATTTACTTATTCAAAATTTCATTTACTCTCTATATGTTTTTTATTTCAGCCACTGTTTTAATAAACACTTAAACCTATTTAGTGGTTGTAATTTTAGTGAATCTGGCAAACTATTACAAACTTTGACACACATTGACTAACTACTTTTTTGGTACAATGTCGTTCGTGGTGCTGATTCCACCATCAGTCTGTTTTGGTGTCTAAGAAATCGGTTTTGGTTATCTTTCGCACGCTTGAACAAACCTTCATGTGTTCTTACAAAAGAACATAACTTATTACATACTAGGGAGAGACATAATTCCTAGTTTTTTAAACATAGGTCTACATGATTGATCTGGTGGTGCCCCACACATCAGTCGCACACATCTTTTCTGTGCAATAAAAGCCCTGTCAGAATCAGTACTGTTTCCCCACAACAACAAACGGTACTGAGATTTGATACGACACGACCGTAACAGACTTTAAGTAGGGTTTGAGGTAATTGTAGTACTTCAAGTTTACTCATCATATAGACATAACTATTTATTTTGTTACAGACTTTATTTATGTGACACTTCCAGTTGCAGTGATCATCTAATTGAAGTCCAAGAAAACGCGTTTCATTCAGTTCTTTTAATTTCTGTCCTTCGTGGTGTATATTAAGTTTATGTTTCACACCACAGAGATTTGTAAATTGTATTAATTAGTTTTGTCAATATTTATGTTCAAATTATTTAATTTTAGCCATTTCGTTATTGATTTTATTGTGTTATTTAAATTGAATTCATTATTATCAATGTCATTGTTTTTGTCAAGTAGTATAATTACTGAAATGTCATCTGCAAACAAAATGCAATCATAGTTCGTCACGTTATCGTGCAATAATATTTAATATTAGAGTATTCTATCGTGAAATATTATTTAATAATTACACGATAATATACTTTAATATTCAAATAATAAAAATTGAAACGAAAATTAGGTAGTGAACATTAGTCGAAGATTGATCGTTTTAGGTATTGTTTTTTGTACGTCCATTGTTCCAAATTGTAAAGCTGTAAGCAGCAAGATACATACCTCCTAAAAGCATTTCCTGCAACAAACTATCAATATGAGCCACACCAAACAGCTTGGCGAATTGTATCTGTTCAATCATTTGCCACGTGATGCTCTGCAATGGCGGCAGGCAGAGCAACAGCTCACCGAACCGGCCGCGGCCGTCGTACTGTCGGTCGCTTATGTAGTCTTCTAGATTTATTTGGATCTGGTAACGGAGCTGCTTGATTTTTTGTGGTTGGGATAAGCCTTTGGCATCTGGAAAGTTAATGCATATTAATGAATTATTGAATTTGGTCGAGTTGGATTTCTTCGTCGTTCTCTCTATCTTCAAATAAACATTTATAAATAAAAAAATAAACATTTTACTGCCTAAAGATGTGCCTCCGTGGCCGAACAGTCGCCATGCTGGTCTGCCAGGCAGAGGTCCCGGGTTCGATTCCCGGGCTGGGATAAATATTTCTGTGGCCTACATTTATTTTTCTCGGAGTTTGGGTATAATTTGTGGTTGTCTATGTGCGTGTCCATGGCACACATAGACAACAAGTTTCCTTCTTGCGGGGATAGCCCTATGAGTGTGTGCGTATTGTTATTATATCAACACTAGAACGACGACCAAGGTGGCCTAGTGTTTTATACTGTCGGCACTGTATGAGGAGGTCCCGGGTTCGATTCTCGGTAGAACCAAGTTGGGAAATGAACTTTTCTATATTGGTTCTGGTCTGGCTGTACTGGGAAGTGTCCCGGAGTCAATTCAATGGAACGGAAGAACAACGGCTCTGATGCTCATAGTCCAGGGAATTCCCTAGTTTAAGACAATTACTATTAAGCTTCGTCAATAGGTATTAAAAAACAAAAACTGGGGTTTACAAGAGATTTCTTCACAAATTACTAACCTAAAAAAATCCCACACTGAATGGTGCCTGTCTCAAAAGTTCTCATTGTACTAGAATGACAACTGGATGGCAATGGATACCTATTGAACCAACTACGAGCCCGAGCGGTGACTGCAGACTATTGTGTTGGAGCAACGTTATACTCCAACATTAACAAGAAGCACACGGTGTTGAAGACTTACTAGGGTCAAAGAAGACGATCGCTTTGAGGCAGGCGAACTCGGTGTCGTCGATGTCGATTTCGCACAACGGCTTCACGATCTCATCCATCACGCGCATTCCAATCATGCTGATGTCTATGTCCATGCGCCCGTCTATTTAAAATAATAATAAAAACATTTGTAAACACTAAGACAAGGAACGATTTCTTATTGAATAAAAATAGGTGTATGCGCGTATGGCGAGAAAAAAGATAAGATAAAGAACCTAATAAACATCAGCGTAAAACATTTTAATTCTTTTTTAACCGACTTCAAAAAAAGAGGAGGTTCTCAATTCCACTGTTTTTTTATGTATGTATGTTACGCGATAACTCCGTAATTTGTGAACCGATTTTGATGATTCTTTTTTGTGGGGAAAAAACATACCTCCGTAGTGGTCCCATTTTTACATTTGAAGAAAATATTCCACCTGCATGGTTGGCACACCAGGGGATGAATGACTTTTGAGGTCGGTTTTTTTAGTACTCTGTACTGAGATTATATGATTCGGGACAGGGCTCCCACTTAGAGTTTTAAATCACTAAGATCTGAGGGGAACTGCCACTACCCCCGTAACATTGAGACTTAAGTTGACAAGTCCCATGTGCCTGTGCCATGTGCATGTGCATTATTTCATAATTCCGGCAGCACCCTTACCCTTCACAACCAGAACGCAGCAAAGCTCACATCACTGCTAGGCCGCAAAAATAGGAAAGGTAGCAGGCAGTACTTCCCTGGACGAACTCTTTCACAAGAATCTCTAGAAGTCCTATTTCTAAGAAGTCATAATAATGGATGCTGATAAGCAATAACGTGTCAACCAACGTGATCATAGTTTTACGAAAATAGTACCTAAAGATTTTTTGTTGTTTTTGATAGTTTGTTAAAATTTGCTTATAAAATGAAAACTTTTCTGTTTGTGCTTGTTGTTGTTGCGCAATTATAGTCATAAATGACAATTCATCATTCCTGAGGTTACAACAATAAAAGTTTTCATTTTACAAGTAAATTTTAGAACAAACTATCAAAAACAACGATAAAATCTTTAGGCGTAATTTCTGCAAAACTATGATCATGTTCGATGTTACGTTGTTGCTTATCCGCGTCCAATTAGAACAAAAAAAAAATTGACTTCATACTCACCAACATGATGCTTAGTGATGATGCAGTTGTTTCCCAATAAGAGAACTTCTTTCAAGTGAAGTGAGCGGCGCGCGCATCCTAGCAGTAGGTGTTCACCCGCGTGCGCCCGCAGTAATGCCACCTGACACAAAACAAACTGTGTTGAACAAAACAAACTAACACAGTAGATAATTATAAGTAAGATGGTGGGGTCAGTGACCAACAAGCACCACTATTGAATATATTTTTTTGAATTAATTTGTAATGATATTTAAAACCAAATTTTTTACCATATAATATCACGTTTCTTATTGGTAGGTGTCAAATTACTGGGTGTTCGTTATTGGTGAGTGTCGATTGCTGGTTAGTTAATTAGTGGATTTGTGGTGTCCATTTTGGATTTAGAGAAATTATAATTTAGGTTATTTTTGTAACAATTACAATAACTTTGTTATCTTCTCTTCTTAAGGATTATATCTGTCAAGTAAACTAATCAGTCTAATCATTATTGATACAATACGTTTAAAAACAAAAAAGATATTTCAAATTTAAAGACGCACTTCCTTCAAAATGTCGATCATTGATACCATCACCCTAAGTATTTTAAATAGATAAAGAATGACATTCAAAAAGAAAGTATTACCACGGTCCCCAGACTAGGCAAGTCTGTATCGTGGGGTCCCAGACTAGGCAAGTCTGTATCGTGGGGTCCCAGACATCCGTTGTACAGACGGCAGCATATTAAGCTACACTACAGGGATCTTGTTCCGTTGCTCTGGATGCGATATTCAAACAAAAGTGCATAGCTTGATGTGCTATTGACCGTACATAAACTGACAAAAAAAATGGTCAGGCCATCAATCAGTTTCCCAACCAGGGCAACCCTGTACTTTGGGAGTTGATGACGATCTAGGACCAGTAAATAGTCTTACTAATATTTTACAACCAGTTACAGAGACGTATATATACGAATAGTATAATGTAATGTAGGTTACCCACATAATTTGTGTTATTTACAGTGAGAATTTTTATTTATTCTATCTTCTATCTATGTTGGAAAGCATATGGACTAAGCAACTAACTTTGAGCCCATATGGTAACGGGTACGACCAAAAATCTTCCCTGAGCAGATGTACTCTTTAGCAAGGGTAGCTGGATTTGATTGGACATTAAAAGTCTAGGACTTTGATGCAATGGAATTAGTCGAGAAGAGCTACAATCAAAAAATGACATTAGACCAGCACCAGTGACCTATGAGACGTATACAGTATAGAAATGCGAATAGTTACCTGGTCATCAAGTTGTAGCTCAGTGAAGGCGGGGATGTACTTGGCCCACTCGACGAGGATGAGAAGCTGCTGTTTGATCGAGTCACACACGTCGTTGATTTTCGCCAACTTGCGGTTGTTGATATCCGCGTCTGATACGTTGTTAGTCTGAAAAATGAATGTTTCCAGGTATATGTTGAACCATCACTTAATAGATGTACATAAAAAGTTTGTAATCCAGGGGACACAAAAGACAAGACGGTAGTCCGTAACTTGAAGCTAGTATTCTAATCTAATTTGTGAGTGGTTAAGCTCGCGTTACAAAACAAAGATCTGCAAGAAGCGTATACAAATGTTGTTTTATTTTATAAGTAAGTTTGATCTAATGAGAAGTACATTCTCACTGCTAGGTACTAATCACTAAGTGGATCTATAATTGTGTAAGAGCGTGCTCGAAAACATATTGTTTCCAGTTTGGCGGGAGATAGACTTTTGTAAAATGTATACATTTTGAAAAAAAAAAAAAAAATAAAAAAAAAATCGCATGGACTGGTGGCTCGTTTCGTAGCTCAGTTGGGAGAGATCTGGCACGGTATGCTTGAAAAGCGCTGTGGTTCGAATTCAGCCGAACCGAAGGAATTTTTCTTAGTGTTCGATCTTTGTAATAATAATTGTAACAAAGTAGTGGAGTAATTTCACAATGTGCTAGATAACCACACCAATTTTACCCGGTCTCAAACTAAGGAATGCACTTAAAAGTTGGTCCTACACACGGTCACAATGCAAACCGTTGCCATAGTATAAAAAGACAAATATGGTAACTCCATACAAACGTAGCAACGCGACATGTTTGTTGCGTGTCGGCCACGCGGCTTGTACAGACGCACACACTCACATATCTCGCGATGTACTCGCGTTGCATAGTGCTGGTCGTCTCACGCGCCTTTCATCATTATGCGAATGTGTGAAAAACGGCGCGGCGCGGACGTGCACGCATACATGCCGAGCTACTACTTTTGTGAGAAATTACCATATTGTCTTGCTATACTATGCCGTTGGGCTACCGTGGTCGTCAATCATTTACCTAAGATTTATGAAACAAGGATTAATAGACATAGAAACAAATGTGCAACATGGAGTTATCCTTAACCATTACTAAGAATACAGCATATTACATTAAAATGACAAACTGCATAAAAATATCCAATAAAACCACAAGAGCGCGGAAATGATTCATGTCAACATCATTATTGTATAACGATTAAATCACATTTTTTATAACGTGTTAGTGCTAATGAAGCTCTTTTTGACGAAGCCATGTGAGAATCATAAATGCAATCACTTTTAAATTAAGATTGGTAAACAAGAAAACACTCGGTTGACGCGTGATAAGTCATTTATATTGGTATCCAGTTGTATGAGAAATTTTAGTAAGTTACGCTCTTTAACATGAACAAATTTAATAGAAAATGAGATTTAGAAAGCAGATTTTCATGTATAAGACTGAATTAGCAAAATGTATAGTATATTTTAAAAGTAATATATACTAATGGCAAATTTCTTATATTATAATTATGTTGTAAAATGTTGTATATTATAATAAATATTTTTAGCATTAACAATAAATTAATTAATGGTCAAATGTGAAAATCTATTTTGTTAAAAAAAAAAACACCAAAAACAATTGCAGCATCTCGCATACCATTACGAGATATCGATATATGTTTAGCAAGTTCACTAGGATTGATTGCATTAAAAAATTCGAGCCTACTGCTTCTTCAAAATATCTTTTGGGGAAAACGCAATGGACGTATTAAAAACAAATAATACTAAAGCACTGAACGCACGATCGATGAGTTGTCACGCTGTCTTACCTCGTCTATGACCTTTCTGCTGAGCAGCTCGGCGTTGAGCAATGACACGACCGAGAGGCCGTTGGCTTGTGTAGGCTCCTCGTATGATGGCCGGCGGCAGTTGATGCGGTCCCGCTCGTTCTGTACCGCTGAAACAACAAACATTCATCAGTCTGGCAGGATCAGAAACACAATCGACAAAATCGTCACTGATTTCAAACTTAGGACCTGAATGATGAGTACTAGAACAATGACATTAAATCTAGAGTCGGCGGACTAAAGCACATAATCCAAATCCAAATTAACAACACCCTTGATAAGAAATTTAAAATAAATAGAACCTGAATAATCACTCTTTATAAGATACGTGTTTGAGAAACTAAGGCATTGATATTTATTAACTGCTTCATTTTTTAATACATAATTATATATTTTTTGAGTAGTTTACAATGTTGGAAGATGTGAAGAGAATGAAACATTTAAAAAAGACGCCACTAGAATTTAAATTACAAATTAATGAAGTAACAAATGAATATGACTTATGTGCTTTCTTTAGTCCGTTGACCCTAGAATTATAAGTTAATTACATACATATAAATAAATTATATACATACATATAAATTAATTATATACACTGGAGAAAGTTCTGAAAAGTTGGATTTAAAAAAAAGTAAGGGAACTGGGAATAGCAAATTACTGGAAGGGAGAAATGGGCATTTCCTTGTAGCTATAGTTATGATGATGTATGTGGCAAGACCGACCTTTGCCGTGCGTTAACGCTTTCATGTTATACATCAATCGAACCTATTACCTATCATCAAAGAAACGTATTACCTATGTAACTACGGAATAACAAACTCGTTGAATAATAAGTTAAATAAATTTCAATATTCTGTCAATCCGCAAATCAATGAAAAAGAAAAACGACGAAGTAAAGGGTTGAAACTGATATATTATGCATATGCGGTCTTCAATCGATATTAACTAAAATAATCATTACGGATCAACTTGTTCAACGTTCTTATTTCAGTACGTAGATATTATTTTTTAAATATATTTTTTTAATTCGACATTGGAATGTACGTTATTTACACAAACAACCTAAAACAATGACTTAATGGCATAATGTTTACACACATTATGAATACTTGAGTACAAGTACTCAATTTGGCATTAAAAGGTAAATGTATCTGCAATTTATTGGTTAACTCTATAGTATAATACTTTTATACACTATTACTTCACAAGTTATGAAACATAATGTCGTTAAATAACTAAATGTGGTCACATCCCTATCAGAGTAGATGTCAAGCGAAACAAAAAGTTGTGTTTGTAAGATTTCTAGATTCAAGTCAATGCCATAAAATAGTAATAGAAAAAAAGGTTTTTTTTTTACGAAAGCAATTCCTAATTTCGATCAGTAATTGTATCCAATCAAGATTATGTTACCTTAGTATACGTTTGCAGGGCTGCCGGGTCTCGCAAAAAAATAAATAGTCGACACTTTTATAAACAGATTGTGAAAGATATTTTTTTTCCAAAAAATGTATGAATAGTCAATGTTTGACATGATAATGATAAATAAATTACGTTGTTGCATTTTTTATTCTTATTTTGACAGTGAAGTACAGCCGCATGTTCTTATCTAATACAAATAAAACATCCGCGTAAAAACGACAGCAAGTGCAAGTGCCAACGGAAATATTTACAATCGTAACATGTACATAATATGGATACTTGAAACGGGCATATTATCATTATCCTTATTTGTAACATAACATGAAATTTGAGCTCTAATTAAAAGTCGACTTTTGGGTAGCTTCCGTGTAGTTGTGATAAGTAATATTATCAAATTACTTAATTTTTTGCCATCGACGCAATTATTAAAGCGGTAAACGACTATTACGTCTATACTAAAAATATCGACCAGGGGACTTCAAGCTCAATTGATCGCGACACAATTTCTTACCTTTGAGGCACCGCACTGACGAACTGAACACGTGCCGTTTTATCATTGCGGTTTGATGCGAACTTCGCGACGTGGTGCGATCGTTCGGAATGGCAAATTTGCACGAAAACTACTATTTATGATAATATTGTGTCACATGTTTTCCAGGGAACTGAACAAATTGCAGCGACAAAAGTATTAAATAATCTTGGGTGTAAAATAAGCAATAGGCTGAATGTATTTTCTTGTACAGGAGCACGTCAAGCTTGACACTTCAGATTTAAATCCAACTCTATGCCGCTTACGATAAGAACGGTAAAAAGTACAAAGTGTAAAGCTTGACTTGCTCTTGACTATACAGAACGGCTCATTTCTTAACTTTAAAATAGTAAGACAATTTCTAATTGATGCTTGGGGTAATTCAACTTTTAAACAAGTTTTTTTATTCCTTCTAAATTGCCTCTGTGGCCGAAAGGTTACCATGCTGGACTGCCACGCAGAGGCCCCGTGTTAGATTCCCGGGCCGGGAGAAATATTTGTATTGCCTACATTTATTTGTCTCGTAAATTTGAGTTTAATTTGTGGTTGTCTGCCTATGTGTGTGTCCATGGCACCCGTGATACAGGGTTTCCCTAGTGCGGGGCTATGACTGTGTGCGTTATTATTATATTCCATTCGGGAGTTGCGACACACCAGGGGACTGAAGTTTTGAGACTATAAAGGGCATCTTTTCATAATTTAGCCAGTTTCAGTGACTAGATTGGATAATGATGTAAATAAAGGTATATAAAAAAATAAGTGATCTATGGAAGAAATTTCACACATGTCTCGGGCCATTAAAAGTTCCAACATGATTAGAACGTACCATTTATATGTTGTCTCAGAAATAGCAATAACGTGACGATTATAAATCAATATCTCTCATACAGTCGTATACTAATAACGCGATATAACGTCAAAGGAAATAGGTATATAAAAAAACGTGATTTTCAACAAAAACTATTAATTTTGAGACAAAAACCTGACATTGAAATCTTTGATAGAATCACACCATTACGTTGGACGTGTGCGGCAAGATTTAAATGAAGTTTTTTCTACTGTTTACCTGTTATTAGACATCATGTGCTATTAAGTTGTATAGGTAGTTATTCATAATAACTCTGCGGTTTTATGAAAGAATAAATTGTTTTCCTTACGTTTTCAAACAATTGCTTTAAAGCAATAATGTTATGTGCAATGAATTTATACTATATAGTGGTGTTATATCATTTATTGTGGTCTCCTGTCACCCCGAAGTTAATAAGTCGTATTAGAGCCATGTCAAAGTCGGTTTTGCTCCGCATTGAGAGGAGAGTGCAATAGTACGTTTATCTGTTGTTATAGTAGGTACAGTACCTACTTAGTCATCAGTAAACAATCGCTCAAGGACTCTTGAGCTTTGTCCACTGCAAGCTTTCTGCAGATGAAAGTGCAGCAACCGCATTTATCTCGGGAAACTTATTTAATCACTCACGCCTAATTAATATGTGCGATATGAAATTGTAAACATAATTATGACTACTTTGTGTCGACTTTTACAACTGATATTCTAGTAGCGCGCTTACTGGTAAATACGGTTGGTTTACGCGATTCAGGGTCGTATTCTAGAACTCTACTCAATGCTCAAGTTAGGATTGCACTGGAAACACAAGCACTGGAAATACGACCCTAATGGCAGGGACTTGAGTATGATTTCGAGTGCTTTAAACCATACTCAAATCCTGACTTGAGCATTGAGTAGAGTTCTAGAATACGACACTTAGACTCGAAGAAATAGTTTTATTTCCAGTGTGTAGCTGTCGTGGAAACCTAAGTAAACCTAAGAACTCGATTGAAACGTTTTCTTGAAATTATTTTTTGTAAAATTTAAAACCTTTGGATTACGCGATTTCAGATCCGAAAAAAGATTCTTACCAGAAAATAAATCGTTACATAAGTAATAATCTTCAATTTCAATTAAATTGTTTATAGTTAGTCTTACGTGTATTAGACATCGAGTATATAACAAGAAATAGAGACGAAATAAGGGCCATACGTTCCTGGTAACTCATCAGTGATACATCACTCATAAATATCAAATCTCTTTTGCACTGAAATATAGACAGCGCCAACGACTGATCTGTGTGTACGTCTCCGTGTATTCCAAAAATATTCTGTATTTATTGTAATAAAGATATCTCTAACAATGGCGTGCTGTTTCATTCGGCGGTGTGGGGAAAAACAGCAAAAGATCTAATTATAAAATAAATGTAATCAATTTTCATCGGTAATTAAATATTAAATATGTAATTTTGCAATTTTCGTCCATTATATCAAAGCTCAAGTTAATTGGTCGATTTGAAGTGAAACAATCGACACCCTTTGACGACACCCGTCAATTGTTTCGAATTCGGGCTGGCCAATCGGTGCCCAGTTGTCACAGCAATGATATGGCAGAATACGTAGAGGGTTCTGGTTATATACTCGATGGTATTAGAGAACTTATTGACATAATTAGGTAACGTTTCTTAACAAAGCCAATGAAGATTTGTTAGTCAATAGTGAAACGACACCGTCGTCGGGTGTTTGTATTACCAGCGTAAACCTATACTCTGTAGTTTGCTACAAGGAAAACTGGTATCGAAAAACCTATACAGGGTTATTTGTAAAATATTAACAACCTCGCGGGTCTATATTACTATCATCATAAACAACAACTATTCTTCTAAAACTTTTTGCAGAACATAATAAAAACTGATGATAATTTTGTTGACATATTATTGTTTATCAGCATTCACTAAATTAAAAAAATAAAAACGAACTACCTTCATATATATAATATAATATATACATATATTACTCATGGACATATTTAGAGGAACCAAATAGGAACGCTAATACAAAGTACTAAAAAAACCGACCTCAAATGTTCGTGGAATTACATCTATTTGCCAAATTTTATTGAAATCGGTTACCGGAAAGTGCGCAAATCCGGATTGACCTCCTAGTTCGCCACTAAACGGGATTTAACACAGGAGATAATAAAAATCGGTGCTCACTGCTTAAAGTATATTGAGAGAGAAAAATGCCTTTAATAGCAAATTCAACCATTAAAATAATTGCTCATATAAAATTTTGGATAAATAAAAATAAGTCTTCATGCGTGACAGCCACCCTTAGAGGTGGAATATTCTTCAAAAATAAATGTGAGCACTACTGACCCTCTTTCCAACAAAAAAAGAATCATCCAAATCGGTTGACAAATGTCGGAGTTATCGCGTAACATAGATTAAAAAAACATACAGTCGAATTGAGAACCTCCTCCTTTTTTTGAAGTCGGTTAAAAAGGTTGATTATGATAACAACGTTCATATGAAACAAACAGTTGAAATTGAAAATTAAACGTTTTTTTTAACATTCCTCTAAATATGTCAATGAGTGTATTTATAAGTATTATGCTCACCTTCTTTCTTCATACCAGCTTTGAAACATTTCCTTAACCTACAATATCGGCACTGATTCCTTTTATCTTTATCCACTATACAATTTCTGTTGAATCTGTAATAAAATGCAATTGATTTGAATAAAATTGTCGTTGAGACAGCGGGTTTGATCATTATCTTTATATAACAAAAGTAGGTCCTTATAATTTTATTTGTCTTGGCTTTGCTGTCACAACTTTCAGATCATAATATTGAAGTCTCTTATTTGGATTAAAATAATGTTCCGTTTTAATTTAAATTTAGATGTTTGTACCTTGACATGTTTCGTTTAATTTTGCTCTACTTACCTTAAGAAATACCAAAAAACTAACCTGCAAGTATAGAGATGGTTTTTTCTAACGCTCCGTCTGAAGAATCCCTTGCATCCGTCACAGGAAGAGGCCCCGTAGTGCTTGCCGGTAGCGCGGTCCCCGCAGATGGCGCAGTGTTGCGACAACGGTATTGAACTGACAGCGCTTGCCTCACTGCTGCTCGTCTCTAGTTGCATATCACTGTCTGTAACAATTAAAGTTTTGATTCTTTGACTGTCGATTTGTATTCCATAAAAAACCCACGAAGTAGACAAGGATCGCTTTACACCGCCACATTGGCCTATTATATACTTGTTAGTCTGACGGACAATGGCATCTCCGGAAAAGTTGAAATAGTCAACAGCTTGACAGGTGGGTTTATCATCGCAGTGAAGCTATAAGTATACACCGGGAGTCGTAGCTATATTTTTGTTTGCGCTTATAAACCGCCAATACCAGCTTAAAAGAATCAAGTCTAGACAAAAACAGTTTTAATACCAGTTATGTACTTTTTGTCAAAGCTACAAAAATCCGCTTTGAATCGGAAATTAGGCGCAAGCGTAATTATGACAAAATAATATGCACGATAATAACTGTATCTAATTGCAATTTATTTTTATTAATACAGCAATTTTCTTGGCAATTATCACTTTGCTTACAACTAATTATAACACTACCTTTACAGAGTAAGGAAGTCGGAGTCAGTGTTATTTTTCTCGGCATTCATTTTCGTATTTATTTGTGTTAGATTTAGAAAATTTAACGTCCGTTGTTCAAGAAATTTGAAAGAAAGTTGGTTGTAAGGTAAGGCAATTATATCTCATCGACACACATATGGACAGACAGGCTTTTAAGAGACTTGATTCATGCACTTAGATGATTGTGTACTTAATACATATCCCATAAGAGCGATTATAAAGTATACGGATTGACGCATTTTATTTTGTAAGACGACATTAGTTTGTAGTTAGTCTTTTTTACAGTTTTTGCAACTTCCTATAATATATATGTAGCTGCTTAAGTGTAAAACAAATAGTATTTGCTAATGTATTGTGAACTAAGGTAGTAGGTATACATTAATGATTATTTATATATAATGTAATGGGTTTTTCCAGGGTTTTTACCAACACCGCTTACGTATGCGGTGTTTGTATAATTTATTTATTTCAATCCTTTTTTATTCGATCCTTAAAACTAATTTGCCGTCGAATTAAGTTCTTGTTCGTTTATTTTTGACGCCCGAAAACCAATTCGCGATTGGCAAATTAAGATTCGGTTATGTGCAAAAGGTGCCTTATTGATGATTTTATTTGACGACTTCGATGGATCGATGGTTTGTACTGTGGGCTTTGAATGAGGAGGACCGCGGTTCGAATCTCGGTAGCACCAATTTGGAAATTAACTTTCCTAAATTGGTCCTGGAATGGGTGTTTTCGTGGCAGTGCGCCGGAATGATTCTGTTGCTCTGGTACTCACAATACAAGGAATTTCCTACTTTGCGACCAGGTCATTGGTGTGATTGTTGAAATATCATTGAAAAATTTATATGAAACAACATAATATTACTTTTCTATGAAAATGAATAGAGCTTTTTTACATTTAATGCGATATTTAATTAGAAATTTATCATGTGCTTTCGGTGTAGGAAAACATTGTGAAGAAAGTTGCACGCCGAAGAAGATTCACTCGTAAAACGTGTGAAGTCCCCAATCTGGATATAGCCAGGGTGGCGGACCTCGCCTAAACCCTCGTCTGAGAGGAGACCTGTGCCCAGCAGTGGAACGTATAAATGGGTTGATGATGACATTTACTATTTTGTAGTGCCAACTTCTATAGCTTATTTTCGCTTATATTTATTTCATATAATGATGCCACAAACATAGAATGTCAAATCATCAGTATTTTTCCAATATCCATATGACCATGTCAACTAAATAAATATTTGTTACCAATATATTTTTTGTTACACTCCTTTTGGCACTTGTACAGAACTAGTGTCTTTTCCTCGTATTTATCGCACGCGACAAATGTTTACGTTATATCATTTTTAGTAAATGCATATTTTTTCTTAGTGTATATATTTATTATTAAAATAATAATAAAAAATAATGAAAAAGAGTTGTTGCATTCTTGGTACTAAAATAAATGCAAAATTTAACCAGGCTTTTAGTGGGTTTTTGTACAAAATCTAGAAAGTCTGAATTAAAAACAAATTATTTTTGACCTGCAATTTCCAGAAAATCTTTAGGGATTTTTAATACTGTGTATAGTAAAACGGAACGCAATTTCGATGTGTTCTTGTAATTAAACAAAATGAAGTATGTATAGTATGCTTCAAGATATACTACACAGATTGTAAACTACATAGTCCATAAATAATTATTTAGAGATAGAGAACTGAGATGTAGCAAAGTCTCAGCGTGTGTAGTCTCCATATTGTAACTACGGTGATAATAATGCAAGTTTAGCATTAAGCTGTTAGCCGTTATTTGTATTTCATTATAATGTTTATTCAAAGTTTACAAAGTTCAAGATAAATTTGACTGTTACTATAAAATTGCTGTCGGTAATATTATTTACACCATTTGGTGTTTTACCGTTTCATGTAAATACCTATTAATAATAAATTATGTTTATTACGATATAATAATATAAAATGTCGAATCTGTGTTCTTATACAATACTTGTACGCAAGCAAAAATTTATTGCAGTAATTATTGGGCTACGGAGATAATTTGATTCATCATCATCATCATATCAGCCGGAAGACGTCCACTGATGAACATAGGCGGAGGCCTAGGATAGTCTGGAAATCTTTGATCGGGCGCGACGTGCAGATCATCGGTTACCCGCCGACCTTAGCAGGTCATTCGTCCATCTAGTAAGGGGCCGTCCCACTGAACGCCTTCCGGTTCGTAGTCTCCATTCGAGAACCTTTCTGCCCCAACGGGTGTCAGTTCTACGAGATATGTTGCTAATCCTTTGAACTATGCCAGTGACTTTCGTTCTTCTACGGAGTTGCTCATTTCTGATTCGATTACGTAGACCTAATCTGATTACAGTATAGGTAAACGATGATATCATTGTCAACACATTAATCGTCCCTCTATTGAACTCGGGTTCCTCTAATGAAAGGGTTTAGGCCATAATCCGCATGCTGCACCAGTGCGGATTTTTAATTTTATTTTTATTTATAATAGGACACAAACGAACAGACAGCTCCTTGATGAGAGGTGCTCATCGTGGCCCATGGAAAGCTGTAACATCAAAAGAGCTGCCAGTCTTTGAGAGCCCTGTTGACTCGCTTTCGGATTGGGGACTTTGAAAATATTTCTCTGAATGCCATTTATCCGATAACATTAAAAGGAATCATTTTCAGGCAACACGAACGTATACGGAAAAATTTGAATTGACGGTAATATTAACGAGATTCACTATTTTAGGAATGAGCTTCGATGAAAATGTGAAAATAATGTTCATTTTTGATACTTCACGAGATTTTGGCAGCTGTTGCAGCAACAGGAGAGATTAGAGAGCGTTATTATGGGCAACCTACCACTGCTTAATTTTTAGCACTTACAAAATACGCTTGAGAGACTAAACTAGTTCCAATACATGGTATATAAATAACTGTAGCCCTTTAAGCCATTACAATCGTGAGTAGGAATTATGAAAAATATCGACGGCTTAGGACCGTGTGCGGTGGTATTCTATAGCGGGGGCCTATGTTGAACAGCGAACCGTTTCCAGCTGATGTTGGTTATAAAGTAATCAGCGGAAAGTTACAAAAAAACAAATTTATTGGCAGGTCTATACGATGATGCGTCAATGCTGTCGTACCGTAATCATTAACGAACATTAGAATTCCTTATTTTCTTGATTTGCAATTAAAATGTATCGTTAAATAAGTAAATAATAACATTAAAAATACAATGGATTCTCAATCCTGTCGTACCTACATATAAACCAAAATGACAAAAAAAAAGGTAGTAAGTAGCAAAAACAACAAACTAATTAAACTACCATTTTATTTCGTGGTAGATATCATTACGCATTGCGTAATAAAAATACTGTATACATGCGTATTTCTTAAAAGTATAGCACCATCACTTTAGTATCAACAAAGATGAATGGGTATTAAATTCGCTTGACAACACACCTTCAGTATAAATCATGTTTGAGCGCCTGTCCTCCAATGGGCTTCTATTCGCGTGCATGTGGTACGGCGACTTCTCCCATTCCGTCGGACAAGGGGGTACGTAGTCCAGCATCCCATACCCCATTGAACACTCCTGTGACGTCATCTCGTACCCCAACACTGGCATCCTAGCACAAACACCACCACTCGCCTCCGACTTTCACAGACCACTGACAATGCCCGACTCTACACTCGAGAGGGTGAAGATAATAACGATGTTCGAATAATCGCAGTCAGCAGGTGATTTAATGCTTAAATATTGACACTGTTATCAAACCGGTCTCGTGTAAGAGTCGTTAATAAATACGATGATTTGAAAATTACTACAAATATTTGTCCGTCAAATGAGTGAATTACGTCGGTTCCGGGTAATGTTTTCGATTTTATCACATTATTGTCTGCTAATGATACGATAGTTGTGTTGACGAGTCATACGGGACTCGTGTGTCCGCCGAGTTGTAGGTATGTCACTACACACGACCTATCTAGCGCGCGTCGTCTCGGCAACTGAAAACTTGTTGATCGTGACACCCAACGACATCCGCTTCAATGGTAATCCGCTGACGATGATTAGAGCGCCAATGAAGCTAGATCAGCAAGATCAGCAATACTCCAACGACAACAGATAGATACACAGAGCCGCTTCTAGTGTTAAACGCGTTTAACACTAGAAACGCTTTTGGAAACGATTTTTTATCATTGTTAATTAAAATCTGGCCCTGTACTCTCGTTTGACATCCGACCTAAACAATTACTGTCAAATAAGCAATACTCGATCAAATTAAAAGACGCATGAACGCAAAGACGTATCATTAGCAAATGATGCTTCATACTTGACATTGCATTTTAATTTTTTTTTTTTAGTTTTGTTTAAGTATTACCTAGTTGACAGCATTTTTTCGGACGGATGTCGTAGGAAGAACGAGAGTAAACCCCCAGACATACAATACAAATATAGTATAAATGATAGTTTTTTTTTCTTTTTTCTTAATGAATGGCTTGTGACTACTTAGTCTAAATTCTGCCAGTGTCCGTTTTCTAGTTTCATAAACGTTATGGAGGGTGTGTTAGAATTTTGTTCAGTGACTCAGAGGGAGAATCGAAGAGATTTTTGCACAATACATAATAGTTTCTTTGACACAATAATATTATGAAAAAATAATTTATCTCCAATGCACTCTCTGATAAGGGGCGAAGACAATAAAGATTTGTTTTTAAATTAAACCCTTATCGCCGAAACAAAAAATAAACACCGAAAACTGCGCTTGAAAACAACGGCGCCCTGCCCTAAAACCTGTCCATGTAAGTTGAGTCATCGTTATCGGAAGCAACGGATGCGTCGCGTCGACTCACAGCTCCAGCTGACGACCAGTAGCTTTTGCCATAAACATACAGTGACTAATTACTGTCACATATCACCTCAGCACGCTTTGTTCCTTTGTTACCCCCAATGTGTAATCAAGCTCCCTTATAAACAATATGTTTCGCTGTATTCTGTAGAACCGATGTTTTCAAATAATTACAATAATACAACTGCCAAGACCCAATATGTGTTAATAATAACATTATGATCGTCGTTACAAGGAATATCAATAAAGAGGTCTTATAGAATTTGAATCGTACTTCGTAGTTTAAAAACACTACGTTTTAGACAATTGTACTTTTAATGACGAAGATAATTTAAAAGTTGTGGGTGGTAGGTAGGTCATCTCTTGTTATAGACAGACGTGTAGCTTACCGTCAGGCGTACGACTTGATCGCCCCGTCACTTGACATTATAAAAACAAAAAAAATTATGAAAACATTTCATTATATTGATTTTATTGAATATCATGTTGCTACAATGATTCATTTATTTGTTTGTGAAATTACTCCACTAGTCTGTTATAATTATCAATGCAAATCTCGAACACAAATAAAATTTTCCTTCGATCTGACAGGACCAGAGATGCAAAAGCGCTCGTGATCTAACCAGGCGCTTTGTTGATTTAAACCAGGTTTAAATCTCATTAACGCCCAAAATCGAGGACAAAAACTATTTACAATTAAATATTTTATGTGATGTAAATCGAGTTTTGTTCAACTTAAATGATATTATAACAAAAGTGTATTGCTTTCTAGATGATTCGATTTGCTTTTCTATTGAATCGGTTCGCTAGAAAATCGCATTGAAATAATAGTAGATCGTAGAAAATTGAGTCGATTTTCATAAAAATTTAATCGTAATGTGAATCCTCTGAGAATCCACAGGATTGAAAGGTAGATATTGTGTTTATTTTCGTGTAAAACATCAAACTACATCGAAATTGGTTAAATTACAGGCACATGGGACTTGTCAACGCATGTCTAAGGGTGACTGGCGCAGTGGTAGTCTCTCAGATCTTTGCGATTAAAAGCTCTGAGTGGCACTGCAACTGTTATTGACAGGCTTGTAGCTTACCAACAGGCGCACGACTTGTTCGTTCCGTCACCTGATATTATTTAAAAAAATGTAATAAGTACAGAATTATAACTAAGTATAACAAATTCCGTATTTGCCGTTTCAGCCCAAAATCGTGGCCATGGGTTGACCCGGGCGGGTCAATTGGGATTTAACCCACTGCCCATCTCTGGACAGGACTCGAACATGCATCTGCGAAATTGCGATAAAAGCCGAAAAAAGCAATACAAAAGACCTGTAACAAACTAGACTAAAACTAAACTAGATCTGCAGCTCAGTTGGTAGAGCGGTGGCTCCAGCTTGGCACACAGATGCAGGTTCCAGTCCTGTCAGATCGAAGGAATTTTTCTTTGTGTTCCATCTTTGTCTTAATATAATATTAGATCATTCGGATTTCTACCTGACAAAAAAATATATTTTCCTAATTATGAATTAATGTGACGGGACGAACAAGTCGTGGGCCTGTTGGAAAGCGACACGTCTGTATAACCGTTGCAGTGCCACTCAGAGCTTTAAAACGCAAAGATCGGAGGGACAGTGCCACTACGCCCGTCACTCTGAGACAAGTCTCATGCGCTTGTAATTTCACCAGCACCCCTACCCTTCAAAACCGGAACGCAGAAATGCTCACATTACTGCTTGGCGGCAGAAATAGGTAAGGTTGCAGTACTTCCCTAGACGAACTCTTTCACAAGGAGCTCTACTGCAACACAAATAATTAATTTTCCAAATTGGTCCTACCGAGAATCAAACTCGAGACCTCTTCATGCAGCACCTACAGTGCAAAGCGTTGGGTCACGCAGGTTGTCAACAAGTAGACAGATGTGAAGGACACCTGAGCCCTAATTGATCATCAAAATAGTAAAAATAGTAAATATTCAGCTGCTGTCACAAACGGGAATCAGCTTGGTTTGTTTGTATAGGCTTATCGATAACATTTGCCATACGTAGAATACAACCAAAAACGATATCGTTTAAGTTATACTTATCACGTATGCGATAACATTAAAATGATACGAAAAGCGGAACTATGAAACATTTCAAAAATTATACATTACCTAATGGGTGCTTTAGGCATACAGACAGTACGTAAGACATAAATAGGATGTAGATAAGGAGGAACGAACCTATTACGTATTATTTCATAGATCTGCAACCACAGGACAAATAAATGGTAGCATAGATTATTTATTCCCTTTTTGTGTAACTGCTGCTTTTACTGTGCAGACTTGTTAAGTGTTACAAATAATTTTGCGCCCTTGGAATGTCCTGATCATCGAGTATATAACCAGAAACAGAGACGATATAAGGGTCATCCATCCCTGGCAACTCAATAAGCAAATGGACCTTATATCACTTTTAAATATCAACTCTCGTTTGCACTGACATCATAAATTAGAAAGCTGAAATAGTACAGCGCCAACAACTGACATGTGTGTACGTCTATTATATAGTATATTCCAAAATTATGCTGTATTTATTGTAATAAAGCTAACATCTCTAACCATGGGGGTGTTCTATTCGGCGGTGTGGGAAAAACAGCAAAAAATCTAATTACAAAACAAACGGAATCACATTTCATCGGTATTTAAATATATAATTTTTCAATTTTAGTCCATTATAATAATAATATTTAATAATAATAACGCACACACTCGACATAGCCCCGCACTAGGTAAACCCTGTACCGCGAGTGCTATGGACACACACAAGACAACCACAAATTACACCCAAACTCACGAGAGAAATAAATGTAGGCCATACAGTTCTCCCGGCACGGGAATCGAACTCGAGACCTCTGCGTGTCAGGCCGGCATGATAACCGTTCGGCCACGGAGGCAGTTATAGCAAAGCTCAACTTATCGATTGTCGATCAGTTATCAAGTGATCGAGGTCGATTTGAAGTGAAACAATTGATGACACTCGTCGATTGTTTCGAATTCGGGGTGACCAATCAGAGCGCAGTTGTCACCGTACTGATTTAGCAGAATAGTTTTCAAATAAATTAAATGACATTTCGTCTCTATTTCTGGTTATATACTCGATGTTCCTGATGCATCTTCATCATAACACGTTACTATAATGTTTCCCCTATAGTCCCTAGTAGTAGGGTTTTAAGTGGCCCCATTATATCGTCTCCTAATTCACCCCTGCGTTCTAAAAGAACTGTATTATCATCAGAGGGCAGACCGGGTCGCACCTATCATCCGTAACTGGTACATGTCTCAACGCTCGCGCCGCATCTCCGTGGCATCGTTCTTTATTCTTTATCGATAGGCCACTGAGGATATCTAAATAGACCACATTCCAAATCACCTTACATTCGTTGTTTTGCAATAAATATGCTTATTTCTTTGAACTAATTTTTGCGTCAATAAGTTTAGTAAATTGTTTGTGTTCGGTGACTCATAGGTGCATGATATTATAACGAAAAGTCGTGTGGACTCGGCAATTTCCTTACTACCAACGTGAATGCGGAAAATAATTTTACACCTCGTTACACGCTACTTATCTGTGGCTGAATGTAGAACTCAATGAGAGGACAATGGTACTCAGAAATGAAATATGCGTATTTAAAAAATAGACCAATAAGAGGAACTGCATCATAAGTAAATACACCCTATCTATCGACCCGAGAGATAGAGTTTTCCGGAGAGACTACGGGCTCGACGTCAAGACCAGGGTACGGCGGGCGTCTGGGCTAAGCCCTCCGCCAGTGATACGCCTTTACGGGCGTCTCTGGCGGACCCGGACTTGGGTAAGGACTCGCTGGGGTTTATGGTTAGCTGCAGAGACGGACATGTTTATCTGCCCCGGTTTTGTTTGTGCCGGGGCGTCTGTCTTGTGAGCAGCTAGCGCGTCTTAGTAGTGGTCTAGTTGAGGGCCTGTATTCGAGGAGACGCGCGGGATACGTGAGTTGCCCTTTAAGTTGGAAACTATGTCCGGACTAGCTATTGTCGCAGGACACTGCGACTGGCATCTCCGGCACTAGCTCGGAGAGCTAGTAGAGGATAAGCTA